AGCAGGATTACGAGCCCGTCCGGAGCCTCATCCCCGAGGAGAAGCTCTACAAAGTTTACACCTTCAACTCCGTCAGGAAGTCCATGAGCACGGTGATTAAAATGCCTGACGGCAGCTTCCGCATGTACAGCAAAGGAGCCTCCGAGATTGTTCTCAAGAAGTGAGTGCACTGCATCCCTGGCCTCGTTTTTCCAAAATGCAAAGCATCCCCACGCTAAAACGTGGGAATTCTGGTGTTTGGAATTTGCTGCCTGCGCTAGAAATGGGGCACGCTTCATCAGCATAACCCGCCATTATTATTTTAAAATTTTTTTTAAAGTGCTTCTGGGAAATTGGTCCATTTTTCTTACCAAAGAATTGGGTCTTTTGGTGATTTACAAATTGGCTTTTGGTGATTTGCAAATAGATTCTTTACGTTCGACGTGTTTGTAAAAAAAGCACTTTTCAATTTCACTGTAAGTTGTCAGCACATTGATTATTGAGAAAATAACTCATGAAGGGCTCTCGGTGTCCGTGCAATAAATTGCAAATTCTCTCCAATATTTCAGTGGTGAATCTTCTAGAAATTTACAACAGAAACTCAAAACCTGACATCAGAAAAGGAAAGCATTGACTGAAATGAGCTTATGCAGGAAATACTTTGGCAGTCATGAAGATTCATACTTGATGCCTTTTTGGGGCTGCCTAAAAACAGAGGCCAGGCAGAATTAAGGGAATAAAAAGCAGTTTCTGTTTATTGAAGGGTCTCCAGGTACATTTTGGGCTGCACCCAAAAATGGCCAGTGGGTCCCAGGTCTGACACTTTTCTAAGCTGGCTCCATTTGCACATTGGGGGTTCATCTCCCAATTGCAGCTGCAGGGAATGAAGTCATTTAGGGCAGCTTTGCTGCCCCCAAGTCCCTTTTGTTTCCATCTCTCAGGCCTGGGGCAGTGAGGTGTCCTTGATTGCAGGCCTGGGGAGGAATTGCTGTGTCTGAGCAGGATGGGGAAGCAGCAGCTGAGCCTGCACATGGAGTTTGGAGTCAGGCACTAAAGAACTGCAGCACTGCAAACGGATGGAAAATACAAAAGCTGAAATCCCAAGGCACCACACTCAGTTTTTATTCTCTTTTCCTTGCCCAAACCAGGTGTTCCAGGATCCTCAACGCAGCTGGGGAGCCTCGGATCTTCAGGCCCCGCGACAGGGACGAGATGGTGAAGAAAGTGATTGAGCCCATGGCCTGTGATGGGCTGAGAACCATCTGCGTGGCTTTCAGAGACTTCCCCAGCAGCCCTGAGCCTGACTGGGACAATGAGAATGACATCTTATCCGACCTGACCTGCATCTGTGTCGTTGGCATTGAAGACCCAGTAAGGCCAGAGGTACATCCGATTTTTATCTTATATAAAACTGGGCATAACCTGAATGGCAGGTTTCTTACAGGTTTTATCTCTCTTTTTTAATTAGCTCTGTCAAAGAAGCTGAAAATCAGCTTTAGAAATGGGTTTTACTTGATGAAAAGCCAAATAATTAAGGTGGTAAAATTCAGCTATCAGTCAGCTGGTATTTAAATAAAGGAATATAGGGCTTTTTGCACTGCAGGACTGAGATGATCAGCAGAGGTTTTGTAATGCTCCCACATGTTAAAGAATTTTCCTTTAAGCAGTGCAGTGATGTGCAACTCTGAAAGCAGGGAAGACAAGTGCCGTGATTAAAATTGCCATTATAATGGCAGTTTCCAGAGAAACTGATATTTTGCCATTTATCGTAATAGTTGTCACTTTCCTTAAGATTGTACCTAGTGACTACTCAGGAAAATTTGTTTTTAATGTTGTATTTGAACAAGGAAAGGCTGCAGTTGTCATGGATATCACATTTACATGGCTTGTATAAATATATGTAAAATTACAGCTCAGCTCCCCTGAGTAAATCAGTAGTAGGTGTGCACATGGGAAGCACATCCCTGCTTCTACACTTGTAAATTCCCACAGAGATACAAAGGGTTGAGTTAGAGAATTCTGATCTCTCTCTTCATTGCTTGATAATTAGTGGAGAGTTATTAATTCCACGTTAGGGCTTGGAAATGGTGGCAGTAAGTTTGGAGCTAACACCACACAACCCCAGGTACTGACTGCACAGCTGTGCCTTGCCTCAAAATGGATGTTGTTTCTTTTTTTCTTCTTTCTTGATATGAAGGTTAAAATACAAAGTAAATCTTGCTTAGGTGACAACTGGATGATAAACTCCTTATCTCCACAAAGAGCAGATAAACAGCATCCACTTTATCTGTCATCAGATGGTCTCTTGCT